AAGACATGTCTTACGATCACCGAAGTTAAGCAACGCCGGGCCAAGATGGGTGACTGCTTGGTCATACTAGGTGCTGTAAACTTGCATCTCTGGGTGATGTAATGCTTACTGGCTCAGAATTGTTAAACGGAGAGCCGAGTTCCAGTTACCGCTGGTTTCGTTACAGGCAAATGCCATTGGGAAAAGTATAAATCCACCTCTTTTCCTGCAGCTATGGGTTAATTAGTAAGTCTTATATTACAAAATAATTATCTCACAAAAAATACTGTCTAAAAATATTTTCTGGCTTTAAGTAACTTGCAAAGGGCCGATAAGCTGTAAAATAACGAATCAAATCATCATATTAAGTTGGTACTCATCGTTTTATGAAAGCCAACTCTTCACACCTCTATTTGGTTTTTCGTTCTGGTAAGGAATGTAATGATGGCATATATGTCATCAACAACTAAAGACAATTGCATAACTCTTCAATAGCTTGATTGATTGATTTGATTTTTTTACGGCTTATCAATCCTTTGCAGTTTTTTAAAACCAGAAAGTATTTTTTTAGATTGTATGCATTTTTTTAGTGATGATAATGATTTACTGATATGAATCTTACGAATTAACCCATAACTTGGAGTGTGGTGGGGTGTTGTGGTGGAGAAAAGATGGACTCATGCCTTTCCCAAGAGTATTTGCACCTAAGTGAATATAACGAACCCAATAGAAGTTAGAACTCGGCTCCCCGATTTACAATTCCGAGCCGTTATCCTGTACACCCCCGCCTTTAGATTTCTGTATTTCATTTTCCATCTTATATTACTTTTGTGGCCTTGTTAGTGCCAGAAATAAAGACACAAGAGAGGAACTGAGTTAAACAAATATATTAATAGAAATAGTAATACAAACAGATACAAACGACAGTGTTACAGCAAGAATGTTCGGTCCGACTGTGAGAGCTGACTGCTGGAAACTTCTCTCTGCAAAAGGCAATACCTGCTCCTATTTATAGCTGAGAGAGTCCATTCGTGCGCGGGTAAATTACCATAATTACTATATTATGCAAATAGTTAAATTTTTGCACCTACTACTTCATATTGAGATCCCTATATGTTGGCTCTGCTTATTTCGAGCCCGTTCTTCATCTGTGAGGAGATTCATTGTTGCGTAGAGAGATATTACATAAGATTTCAATACCCTTTTTTCTGTTTCTAAAGATATTTCCAATCTCTTATTCCATTGTTTAGCTTCTGAAAGCGCCTTTTATTGCAAACTAGCTTAAAAGCCGCCCTATTGGGCGGCATTTAATCTTGCTCCCGTGGAATGCTTTTGATTAGGCCTTCGGCTCGTTCAGGAGTTTGGCACTTCCTAATTCTTTGCATATTCTCAGCATTGGAAGCTCTCCTGGTTGCCGTTTTATCTGGCTTTTCAACTGCACGGGATATTCCTTTCTTCGCTGCAGCTTTGGCTCTTTTGATTGCAATCTATCTGGTCCTCTGTGAGCAGTGATTTCTTTTTACGAGGCATACTGCTGCCGTATGCTATAGGCAACAAAAAATTACAGAAGGACTCAAAATTGATCACTGCATTTAAGTATTGCATTAATATTTAAGCTTACCTTTTAAAAGCTCAACGATAATTCTTCTGTCGCCACTTAATTTAAAGACAGTTTGATGTACGTAGGTCCTTATTTTCCGTACAAACAATTATTTTTATTTCATGGGTGACTTTCGCTGGATTTCGCAGTTAATTTCGATTATTCCCAAATTTATTTCCAATTTATAAAAATTGTTATCGTACAAAAAATTCGTCGCAAAAAAATTAAGTAAAAAATCGCTGAAAACAATCGCAGTAATGAAAACTTGGGAATACATGACAGTAACATGAGCTATTGAAAGTTAGAGAATTGTGTCCCTTTAATTAAAAATGTGTGGCACAAATGACACACTGATATATGCATTTATTACGTAGAAGACTATATTATGCATTACTGTATAAAAATAGTTTCAAATAACTTACTCCATTTAGTAATACGTACACGCAGTGGGCAGCCGTGACCACGTGACTGCTGTCAATGAGAGTCCCGCCGCATGTAGCTCTCTGGTGTTTAGAGTAACCCCGAATATAGGCGATGTAGGGAAACTGACACTTCCTGGCCAACCGTCCTCTCACGATCTGATGGGTGTGGACTAAGATATAAAAGGGCAAAGATATCACAGATGAATCATGTATTCACAATTTGTGAAATTTTATTGAATAAAGACAAGACAAAATGTGGGTTTAAGAGAAAAAAAAAGGATTATTTTGTTGAGACCAAATTTATAAAGTAGGAGGCTCTTCCTAGAAAATTAGAAATTTGAGATTCTATTTCTTAACTGGGTTCGAACACTGACCTCTGAGACCGGTGGAAAATATGCCAGTAATCACGAATCCTGAATACAAGTTGGGGAGGGCCGGTTCGTACTACCCACGACCGGAGTTGGGGAGCCTAATTACGGGCCCCGGGCAGTGTTTTGTGACCCTTGCTACCTTCATTTATATGCGTTCCAAATTAAACTAGGCACAACGCACAACTGATTATTATTAAAGGATGAACAATTTTCGTGGATTTTGAGGTCATTATAGCATTTTTTTTTCCATCCAGATCTGTGAATTTTTTTTGTTCGTGCTAAGTCGCGAAAAAACACTATATAAAATACACTATTTTTTTTTATCCATAATGTTGAATGTGTTAAAATTCTTCAACTTTTTAGCAAGAAAAATCTCAAGTTCATGTTAAAAATTGCTGCAAAACATTGTTGATTTACTTAAGATGTGATGATCTATTACGACATGTCTCTAATTTCTATTCAGATACATTGTATTTATTTTCAATTTTTCTCGTTGAATTATTCACCTATATTGCATATGGTCCAATATTGCACATAATTAGGTTACAATAAAATTTGTATTTTATATGAATATTAACTTATGCAAATTGAGTGGGGGTACCGTATCATAGATTCAGGGAGGGTAAACCCATGACCCTTGCACCAGCGCTTGGGATGGGAATCATAGGGGTGGGGGGTGTAAAAATGCTAAAACATAAAGCTATTTGCGTTTAGATTGATATTCGTTTGTAATGCAAGTTCATCTTAAGAGAAAGACAAATTCGTGGACAAAAGCCATCTTTATTTTGAGCAATAAACGCACAAAGACTGTGAGAAAATTTACGAAGGCATGTTATGGAATTGTCTAGTTTAGAATTTTTGTTAATCTGTATCACCCTAAGCAAGGCATTAAAGTCACTAAAACACAAGGAGGTTACAGGGTGTGGAAGAATTAGGAACAGAAACATTAATAATGAGCGGGAAGAGGAAAGAGTAATCAGGAGGACAGTAGATAACGATTGACATTGCATTTACATTTTCGCAGATTAAAGTTGGCTGAAAATCATGTAACCGGGAGTGAGTTCCACAAGCGAGAAGTGCGAGAGAAGAAAATGTTAGCATAGAACTTACGTTTACATCTAACCAGCTCAACTGTAAATTGATGAGATTTCAACGCCAGTCTAGTACTGCGATTAAATTCATAAAGTCTAGGTGCCATAGTGAAGAACTCATCCGAAAAATTACCATGAAAGTATTTATAAAAAAGGCACAGAGAAGCAACCTTACAGCGGTGGGCAAGCTGCCAGGTTAGGACCAATAATATTGCAGATTCTTCTTATGAACATTAATAAGCAAACAGGATGGCGTAGGTATATGAATGTTCTGGGTGGAAATATTAAAAAAAAAGATTGTCGAAAGGGGACGTCTATTCGGGACACGAGTCTATGTCAGCCACTGTTGTTGTGTCTTCCTTCTAATAAGGCTATTGTGGACTCTTCCACTTACTATAAATTTAGTAGGAAAAGTAAGCCTCGGGGGAACAGTGATAGACTAAACGCTGGTCATCGACACACACTCCCAAGTCCTGTAACACACTTCTGTTGTATTTACTTTTCAATACACTATATATATGCAAGCTCTTGTTTTGTTATTTTTTAACCATTACTTGGTCACAACAGCTACAAAACGGGTTTTTTAAAAGTCGTCTTGTCTATTTTGTTTCCATCTGTCGGTGACATGCACAGAATTACGTATTTACAAGCATCAATAGAGGAAATTTAATAGTAACTTAAAAATAGAAAAATGCTGTTGTCACTTAACTAAACTCCACAAAGTTTTATTCAATAACCTTTTTTTTGAAATCATTTCCAGTTCACGCAAAGCGATAATGTCACTAGAACTCAAGCGGTTACCGGGAGTGAAAGAGAATCAGAAAACTTCAGTGAAGAGAAAGGACAATAAAAGAACAGGGTTCAGGAAGACAGAAGATGGCAATTGGCATTGTATTTCGAGTCCAGAGTACTAAGAAACAGAAAAATTTTGCCAGAAACAAGAAAAGCTGCTATGTAATATCAGTCCTCCTACATAATGAATAGTTAATGCTGGACAATCTCCTCAAAGATGAAGAAGAGACGTGAGGTAGCAGAAACGTGGTTCTACAGAAGGATGCTGAGCATACCATGGACCGGACATGTGAGCAACGACGAAGTTTTAGAGAAAATGGTAGCAAAAAAGAAACTTATACTGAACATCAAGAAAGGAGAGTTGAGATTTCTTGGGCACATGATGAGGAATGAAGGCTTGGCAAATCTGATACTCACAAGACAGATTAAAGACAAGAGGAACAGATGAAAACAGTACATGACATGCCTAGGGAGCTTGAGTAAATGGATGACGGAACAGGGCTTAGTAGAAATAACAAAGACAAGATTTATTAAGCGATACAAGGGAGAGCCATGATCGCCCATGTCCTGGGGGGACATGGCGCATAAAGAAGAAGGTGGCATGGAAGCAAGATATCGGAAGCGAATTCCACAGGCGAGAAGTGGGAGAGAAGAAACTATTAGAATAGAACATATGGTTGCATCTAGCGATTTCAACAATAAAAAGGTGAGACCTAGTTGCTAATCCAGTAGCACACTTCAATTCATGCAATCTATCTATCTATCTATCTATCTATCTATCTATCTATCTATCTATCTATCTCAGTCTGTTCCTTCTATCTATCTATCTATCTATCTATCTATCTATCTATCTATCTTAGCCTGTTAATTATCTATCTATATATCTATAATGTGTGCTAAAGTGTTCTCCACTCAACACACTTTCCAAACCGAATATCAGAATGTTTCTATGAATATATATTTGGTTGGGTTAAGAACTTTTCTGCACTCATATATATATATATATATATATATATATATATATATATATATATATATATATATATATATATGGTGGTACCGTTTGAAAAACCTCGGATAGCTCAACTTGCAGTAGATCAAATCGGTACCCGAGGAAAGATGGAGAATAAAAAAAGAAAGAACCAAGAACATTAAAACAAGGCGAAAACAATCGTCCAGAGTTCAAGCTCCCAGTCCAAAGAAAAAAACAAACCCAAAACGAGTAAAAAGACAACTACGTAAATTGCTCAATAAACTAAGTAGAGCAAAATCTAAGATAATCTTAAGGAGCCAGGCAAACCTACCTAGGTTTCACCCAAACGGATCTTCAGGATACAGACTGCTGAAAAGAAAAATTATGGAACAGTGTTAATAGCTAAGACCAAAAATAACCATAACCACGTGACAACAAAGACCAAAAAAAAAAAAAAAAAAAAAACAAGAACAAAAAAAAAAACATTCTAATAACCAGCTTTTCCTATGCCTACACCGGCCAAGAATTTCCGATTTTTGGTTCAATAAATTTTTAGGTTCCTAGGTAGGTTTACCTGGCTCCTTAGGAATATGTTATATATATGTGTGTGTGTGTGTTTACAAATAAAATTTATGTCATTTCGCTGATTGATGCTAACTTCAGCATCCCGACTCCAGACTGTCCGTAAATTCATCTGGTGGTATAATTGACTGCTTATACTTCTCGGTTTCTCTTTTTTATATGCACTTATCATTGGTGCAAGCTTTTTTTTTTTCATAGTATATCTGTACGTGTGTGCTAATGCGTCCGTCTGAGTGGATGTGTGTACGTGTAGGGTGTCGTGATTATTTGTCCTTTTCTTTTTTTTCTCCACTTTACACTCACTCCTTAATTTATATATATATTATATAATTATTTTTCTTTTTCCTTTTTTCTTTCAATTGTTGTCATTTATTGTTAAGTGGTGTCCATTTTCTTTTCTATACAAGCTGTCAATTTTAATTTTTGGGCGTCCTAGCATTTTCTTGAGTTAGGAAAATTGTATTTCATCTTTTATATAAATAATTAATTTCAATGTTTAAATGATAAAGTAAATATTTTTTATGTCTTCACTTGGTCATTATTTCGTTTTCTTATCTGATTTGGTGGTAAGATTAGGGTATTAATTGTAGGAGGTTATGTTTTTATTTTTATTTATATTTTTTATTTATTATTGTTTGTGTGCATATTCTTGTATTCACACGTTTACGCACACAAACAAACGCAAACATGCATATACTTATATATACACACATGTAATAAATCTGGGTATTTAATCCCAACAGAGTTATAAGTTAATGACATTTGGAAAAAACGTTCATGAAGGATTGTTTCGAAAATGGTATTCGATAATGTATTTCGCCTATATGGCTTCATCAGACAGATAACGAAAATGTTTGCGTATGTATTTGTGTGTATCCTTAACCCGATTCCCTGTTTTTCAGTAGTGTATTCTCTTTTACAATAAACCTCTCTTTCTTTCATCTACGCGCATGTTGCTGTTCCTTCACTCGAGTACCACTTTTGTCTGTTTGTAACCTCTTTAACCCTAGAACACTAACCATCAATTAAAGTTACACCGCTACTAACCATGGGTATATCATACCCGATTTTGAAAATATCAAAAAATATTAAATATAAATCTTTATTTGAAATATTTTACATACAGGCACTTCGAACTTTGTACTTTGAATTAACATGAATAGGAATTGAAAAACACATTATTTAGGTAAGAAAATCAGGTACTGAAAATTGTAATTAAAAATAGGAAAATTTGCGATGGGTACTATATACCCATGGTTAGTGTTCTAGGGTGAAAATAATTAAATCTTATATTATTTTTCGCAAGCTGTCTTTGCTCGAGATTAAAAAGGAGAATGAAAATGAGTGACTATTAAAAATATCGTTTAACATTTTATATTCTCCGAACATCTTTCCAAATGTTAATAACTTATGATTTATATATCCAAATTTATTACACCCTGTCGACACGGAGAACGCATGGATAAAAATAATTCTTTAATCTATTTTCTAACCATTCTGAAAGATTTCCATCTCAAAACTCGGACACTTAAGGCGGAGTGAGTGATCAGAAGGCGAAAGACCTGCTCTTGAAGTACACTCCATGCGGTACTATAAGGTGTACGACATGCTAGGGGTACTTGACGTGTATTGATACCTGGATCATCACCGGCAGCCTGTAGAATGCGTTCTTCGTTGTCAGGCGTACGAGCAGATCTCGGTCTTTTTCGAGCCGAAGTTTGTGGTGCAATGGATCTTGACTCAGCAACACGACGATAATGAGCAGAAAATGTTGGATGACTCGGTCTCGAAACGCAATCTGACACAGATGTGCAGCCTCGCGTCCATTACCATTCGTACAGCCGTATATAAAAATCATATCTGCCTGCTCACGATATAAATATCATGCCATTGTTAAACGGAATACTTCTCAGATAATTCATTACTACATACGTTAAATGTTGAAGACAGACTAGCCACAAATGTACACAAATGACAAATGTAACCTCGTCTACATGGCAACACATCGCCATCTAAACTTTCTTTAAACTTAATAACTCAAAAATGAAGGATTTACAGATATATGGTTATATGGTGTTTTGTCGTTGTTTTTATGTGAGGAAACACCCCTTAAAGTTTGTAAAAGAATGTTTGATACACCTTGTGTATATTTAGATATATTTCGTATACAAAATTGAGCGGATATGTATTTTGAGAAATCTGGACGAGTAAGTGTGCTTTAAAGTCAAAACAGAACTCTTCGTAGCAGAGCATCTAAAGAGCGTCGGAATGTATGATGGTTCCGCCTGCAAAGGGGAACGCAAAGTGTCCTCGAGTGTGCCGGGATGGTAGGCGAAATAAATAAATTCGTGTATATATATATCTATATATATATATATATATATATATATATATATATATATATATATATATATATATATATATATATATATATATATATATATATATATATATATATATATATATATATATATATATATATATATATATATATATATACATATATATATATATATATATATATATATATATATATATATATATATATATATATATATATATATATATATATACATATCATATATATATATATATATATATATATATATATATATATTGATCAAGTCTAGAAGAATCCCAACGGAATGCAGAAAGCACTGGACGGCCGTTTCGTCTTATTTTTGGGACTCATCAGCAGTGCATTCACTACCAAGAATTGAACCCCGAACGTTAGATATGACGCAAGCGTCATATCCACGGGATCAGCATGTGATGGAGAGGTAACAAACCAGAATCGATATAGCGTCAGCTCTTCACAAATTCTGCCGTGTCACTCACCCTAGTCTACTTATACCAAAGGATTGTGCCCCCCCCCGCCCATGAGTCACGACTTCTATCCCCAAGCCGTTCCATCCGGAGCATTAGAAGCCGGTTCAAGCAGTGGTATATATATATATATATATATATATATATATATAAAATTCCCAAGAGCATAGAATCCAGGTAGAACTCTGTCCAGGACAGAGTAAGAATATAATAAAAAAGCTAAAACACTAATATTCCATGCTTATAATTTATTACATTGGAATTGTAATCACGATCCAATTCATCAGACATACAAAATCAAAAAGAAATTGGAAAATGTAACTCCGGGTATGAAAAACAAAATTTTAGTGAGAGTGTATGTGTGGGAGTGGGAAACAAGAGTGAGAGGGAAATGTATGAAAGCTCTAGAGAGAGGTGCAATAGAAGAAAGAAGAACAGGAAGGCCTAAATTTGAAGGCGGGGATTAAAATTTAACAGAGAGAAGTTTTAAAGAGAGGAGTTATATAACGGTTTAAATGAGTCAGATACAGATAAATATGAATTATTTTTCGATGCATAATTCGCTACCGAATCGCTGATCTACATTAAAATTAAAAAAACAGACACCGGAAACGTGTGTATACATTTGTGGTGACAAATTCTCACTCCCATCAACCTTACCAGAAGTTAACTATCCAAACTAGAGTTAAAGCAGTAGGACATCAACAAATAAGAAGGGCGTACTGTGTGACAATGATTTTTGAATTTATACTAGGTGAAATATTGTCAACTACTAATTCTTTCAATACTTTTTTCTTTCATCTTGTAGAGGAGTTATAACTCTGAGTGTATTTATTATAATCCCCCTAACATTTATATATATATATACAAAAATACTCGTAGAAAATGAGAAAAAGCAAGACATGAAGACAACAAAATGAGTATTTATTTATTATCTGGTTGTTATGTGGTGTTGGAGAAACAAGAGAGAGAGAGAGAGAGAGAGAGAGAGAGAGAGAGAGAGAGAGAGTAAGACTGAGTAAAATTGTGAGTTTGAGGTCAAATATGAATTGAAATTCTTCAGAAGGAGAAATAAAGAATAAGCAAAGTCTATACAGTCTTTCACATGTTTTTTATAGATGTGTTTAATGAATGTTCAGATAATTTAGTTGGAAAAATACAAGAAGTGCCTAGGGTTTTCTTACCTCAAATTTCTGTTGATTGCTAAGAGATAAATGTTACTATTATTGCCTGAAAAGGAAAGGGAGACAAAATTTTCGTTAACGCACGTGTTAACGACGTGTCCGTGAGAACTGCTTGTCCGATAATGAGTCATCCATAGTTTGGTCTTTAAGAATTAATTTCTAATTCAAAGAACTAGAAACTAAAGATGCAATAGTGGCGCATGACAGTGTGTCTGCCACTATGTTTTCTTGATCAGGCACATGTCTGGTGTCTGAAGAAAGTCTGGAAAAGTATCCAGGAAAATTAACATTTAAAATA